GGTCTCCTGACCTCAAATCGCCTACTCCAATTAGCTGTCTAACTACATCGTTGAGTGGGGATATGCACTCCTAATTGGCGATCATTTATATTTCATCTTATTTTGTAGCCAAGTTAGGTGTTCGTCCGGGCATCACTCCTAAACACAAATCAACTCAATTTAACGAAAGATCAAGCTTTATGTATCCACTGGTCTATCTACCTTAGCGTCTCCCGAGTTTAAGAGTAGACAAAAGATTTATTTCTATGGTGATCAAGCATGAAATACTAAAACAAGAATAAAAAAGTAATTCAAAGTGATAACCAACATTAATTCAAAACAATCGATGTTCAACAATTATCCATAGCCACAGCCCCAGAACAAGGGTCTTTAGCTACTAATTTATAAGAAAAGAAGAAGAAAAGAACCCTAAAGAGTATTGACAACTTTATATTTGATGTCCTATGATTGATCTCCCCTAATAATGATTTCTTTAGACTATTTATAGAGGTAGAAACCCTACATAAAATAACTGAATCCAAAACAAATTAGGAGACCAAAAAACTATGCAACCGCCTCAACTCTGCGTTGGCTACTGCCTTCAGAAATTGCCACGTGGCACAATTGACCTTAAGTGATTCGCAATTTGCTATCTACTATACTTTATATATGGGTAAATCACATAAATATGCAATAATAAGAAAATATTTACCATCTATGGCAATATAATATTTCTAACTTGATATAGCAATTATTTGGAATTAAAAAATTGTACAGTGAAAGCCTCTCTATCTCGCTTCTTTCCCTCTTTCTCTGCATTTTTTCTCTTCCTTCTCTTCTTCTTTTTCTTTGAAATTTTCATTTAAAGAAATATCTTCAAATCAGTTTTTGCCCATATATCGCAATTTCACCCAAAAAATACGATAAGAATCATGTGCTCAAGCAGGAATTTCAAATCTCTAAAATCACAGCATCAAGAGTTCACCATTGATGGTCATTATAGAACTTCAAATTTTGAATTCATCATTTAAATTTTATGAATTTGTGATTAGTTTAACTAGGTTGTTCCTACAAATAATTAAAAATATCATTTGGAGTTTATTTCTCAATTTTAACAGGGTTTGGTTAAGTTTAGAATTGATTTTAGGAGAAATATTAGATTGAAGCTCGAAAAATATGAAGTTTACGGAACTGTATCTCAATTGTATTAAAGTTGTATTATATATGTTTCATAACTGTATTAAAATTGAATTAAATCATGAATAATACATTTATAATACATATTGCAAATTTCACTTCCTTTTTAGTGATATCAACTAAAATAATTTAGGTAACACAGTTGTAATACATTACAATATAGACACAATACATTTGTAATACATATTGCAAACATTGCATTTTTTCTTAGTGATACAAATCAAAATAATTTATAAGACACATGTAATACATGTTTTATTCATGAATTATACAGTTTTAATACATATTGCACACTTCACTCTTTTCTTAGTGATACCAACAACAATAATTTAGGTAACACATTAATAATACATTTTTAAGACATGCACAATACATTTTTAATACATATTGCAACCGTTACTCATTTTTTTAGTGACACAAATCAAAATAATTTACAAGACACATATAATATAAGTTTTATCGTGAACAACAATACATTTATAATTTGCAAACTTCACTCTCTTCTTATTGATACCAACCAAATGATTTAGGTAACATACTTATATTACATTTATAATACATATTGCAAACATCATTCATGTTCTTAGTGATACAATCAAAATAATTTATAAGACACATATAATACATGCTTTATTCATGAATAATACAAGTTGAATTCAATCTATAAATAATTCTCTCGTCTTTCGTTAGTAACGTTTTTCATTAATTCTTAATTGTCTCTTCTAGTTCAACTTTAATATTGTGTAATACACTTTTAATGCAAATTTAATTCATTTTGCAGTTTATTGATTGATTTGTTGCTATTGAATTACTTATTTAATTCATTATTGATACAAGTTTAATTCACTCTATATATCAATGTATGGTCTTCATTAGTTACATCTTTTATTCATGTTTAATTCTCTCTTCTAATTCAACTTTAATATTGTGTAATACACTTTTAATGCAAATTTAATTCATTTTGCAGTTTATTGATTGATTTGTTACTATTGAATTACTTGTTTAATTCATTATTGATACAAATTTTATTCAGTTTACTGATCATAGAATGTTCTTTCGTTTGCTACATTTTGTATTCATGTTTAATTCTCTTTTAATTCAACTT